AGACCAAAGTGGATATGGCAAGCCCGTTATTGGCATGACATGATTTAGAATCAGGAAAGCGACTTGAGAAAAACAATCTGGTCTAACCTAGTTTTATGGATGACATTCAGAATTGGGAAGGGAGAGCATGTGGCTTAGTGACTGCACACATGGGACCAGGAGCCCAGAGATTGAAGTTCGAAACCTGAACTTGGCAGTAAGGAATTATGGCACAAACTGACTTGACTTCTGCATTCATCCTCGCTTCCCAGCTGTGATGTGTAGAATCCACACATTAAGGAGGTGCCTCACCCAGGGAGCTACTTGGGGGCAAGAAAAGGGGGACGCTGACAAAGGCTCTGACTCCCACTCACCCCACATTCAATTAGAGCAGCCACACTGGGATCTATTTTACATTGTAATGATTGAAGAAGGAACTCATTGGCTTTTTTTTTTTTTCCTTTTAAGTTTGATGTTTACTGACTTCCATTCTCCAAGTCTTAGGATTGGAAATAGACAGATGAACCCTCTCATGTTTGTGACTGTGTTGCATCTGCTTATTGGTGCAGCAACTCTTTTCTGAGCACCTTTCATTCTGGTTCCTGAGTAACCAGTAGTAATCCATACAGACCCTGTGCTCAAAGACCCTACAGTCTAGACAGGGAGAATTGCAGCACAAAGTGGTAATGACTCTGGAAATTTAAACCCAGGGGGCCTTGGGAGCACATAGAAAGGGCAACCAAGCCTGTTGGATTTGGAGAGTGGGAGAAGATTAGAGTTGACTCCCCAGAAGAAATGACAGATGGTAGGCCTTCCTTTTAATATTCTTTCCTTTCTTTTCTGTCTTTAAAAAAACACCTGGGGGCTTCTTTTGGGAAAAGATGAGAAATCAATATGAAGAACTCTTGTCTTAGCACTGACTATAATCCTCAGCGTGTTACTCAATCCCTACTGATCTCCAACATCTGGGTCTATAAGTAATAATAGAGTAGAATATACCTCAAAGTATTATCATGAAGATTAAATTAGATAATGTGTGTAGAAGTACTTATAAAACTATAAAGCCTTATAAAAATGTCTGCTGAAGGCTTGAATTCCAATCAACCTACATAATCTTTCCCAGCTAAACTGATATTCTTGGTTCTACAAAGGCTTGACTCATGTTGAGCAACTGGGGAAAATGTCACTTTTCAATATAAATAATAATTGATAACAATAACATGTGTGAAGCCTTCACTAAAAAGCAGACCCTCTTTAGCTTTAGAATGGAGAAAACCTGTTGTTTTTTAAGGCATCATTATGTCCACCTGTTGGCTCGCTTGTGATAAAAAGAACAGTTGGTGTAACTTCTCACCATGTGGGAATCTATCTCGGGGGGTTCCTCTTGCTGGTCTTCACCTTTGTGTTGGGGTTCCTTAGGTTTCTGCCCTTGCTCAGTCCTCTTCTGAAACCTCATCACAGGTCAAAACAGAAGAACTTGCTAGAGCCACATGCTGATAACTAACTTGAGTGAAGTGGGCAGGCCTAGTGGGCTGGAGAGTGCACACTCCACCTACAGTAGGCAGCCTTGGCTCAGTGTCAGCCGACCCCTTCAAGGGCCTCAGTATTCTCAAATGGTGAGTATTTTTCAATGTGAAAGTGAACTCACCCAGTTTGTAAATGCTCCTCCTGCCCCTTGACTTCCTAACCCAAGTCTTAGTCACTTCAAGGCTTTGCATTTTACCTAAAATGAAAATTACTCCCCTGCTTAAATCCTGTGGCTGGCTCCCCGTTGACTAGGAGTGGAGTTCAAGTTGTAAATTTGGCCCCTACTGGCCTGTTCTCCAGCAGGAACCGCTACTGGCTCCCTGCCATGCCACGCTATGCCTGCTATGGGCAGGCACCTGCTAGAAACAGTGTACACAATGTGGATGCAGGCGCGGCTGCTTCCCTCAAGTTGCTACCAGTCTTTTTGACAGACCAACTGGAAAATAGGCCTCAGCACACGGCAATCTCATAACTTTCTGTTGGGCCCTGTCCTGGCCCACTGCTTAATAATTACGATGTGTTTATGGGCTCCTTGAGGAAAGAACCTGGTATTTGGAGCACAGTGGTTGCTCAATGTTTGTTGAACGAATAAATGAATGTGATAAAGTTAATTTTAGTTCACCTCTCTGTAGTTGGATGTTTTTAAGCTTCATGTGACTATGACTTTAAAATAAAACCCAGTTATTTAAAAATTCAACTAACTAGACTTCACCACAGGTTTTTTTATTGTTCTGCTTTTTACATTCATATTTAAGAAGTAAAAAAAATCAAGACAAAATGGAAGACTACTACTACTACAACTACCACAATTTCTTCTACACCTACTGCCTCTAACACATCCACTGTTACACTCTGGGGTTAAGTCAGGTCCTGTTCATTGTCTTAGTATTCTACAATTTCCAAATTCTAGAAGGGGAATTGATATTCTGATGATCCTGAAATGCAAGCTATTTAAACAAGGATTGATTTTAAAACTGTCATTAAATTAAAAATCAACGTGGAAAATATTGAAAAAAGATTAAAAGGTTTTCTAATCCATTTTGTTGCTCAAAAAAAAATCCAATTAACCAGAATTTCCTAATTTTGAATAGTGAAGTTCGACTGGCCTGTACCACGCTAAGATCAGTGCATGCTTATTACCGTAATCTCTTGTTCTTCAAACCAATAAATGCTCCCTTTAAGGACAGGTTGGATTTGGTTATTTCTTGTTATACTGACATTTTTTTTCTCAAAAGAAAGAATTTACCTATAACATACTTAATCACACAATGTTCAAAGAAAGATCTTGGCAGATTTTTTCAGCAGGAACAGCATTTGCTGCTGGTGTTTGTGTTTTTCTCATTTGATAATACTAACATTAATATGATCCCCCAGCTCTGTGTCTCCCACCCTGAGTAGCTTTGAATGAAATACAGCATGCAGAGGCTTGTTCATAATTTCTTGATCTTTCATTTATTTACTGTTTCTATGAAGGAAAAAAAAAAAAAAGATGTTTTAAAGCTCAAGGGACTTAACTGTAAAGTAGAGGGGGAAAGATAGAAATACGTGTTGAGGAAACCCAGGAGGCCCCCAGGGCATTATTTTTGCTATAGCTTTCCAGAAAGAGAAAGTGGTGCTTAAAGAAATAATTCCCAATGTTTCCCTCCAGACTAAAATTCGGATGAACTCTGAACTGAGACTCTTTGCATCTCATTTTCTCATTAGGTTTTACTGCAGCCAACAAAACTTTCAGTGGTGAATTACTTCCCTTCTCAACAGAATACCAGACTCCCATAATTCTACACAAACTGAAATAATGAAATGGTTTTTAACCAAGCTTTAGGGATTAGAGAGGGAAAAAAAAAGTAAAAAAGAAAGGGCACCAGGGTCTTCCCATCTCTATGCTAACCAAAGTGTGGTTTTCCAGCCCTTTTTCTTGCCTATTAAAAAAAATAAAAACAAAAAACGGAAATGCCACTGGGCTTGAAACCCCATTTAAAATCAGATTTCTCTTTCAAGTTCCCTTGCAATACAAATCAAAGTCATTTCTACCAAAAAAAAAAAAAAAGTTGGGGGGGGGTTCAAATTAATCCTAAACCCATGGCTCAGATAGGACCTGGTATAGTAAATAAATGCTTTTAAAAGTAGTCATGGCATTGAGAAATGGTTCCATGCACCTAAGCCAGAGGCACCAATGTAAAAACTAGTAATTGTATATTAACACAAAAGATTGAAAAGCATTTTGTTTCACATCCTAATATTATTCCATTCACTTAAAAGAGTTACTTAATATTGACTCTGTATCAGGCATAAGACAGGTTCTTGCCCTCAAAGAACTTATAATTTAGTTGAGAAGCCGAAACCTAACATGAGCTTTAAAAGAAGGATGCAGTACAAAACATGGTATAATTAAGTGTTAAACAATGCAGTATAGATGCTCAGTGACCTAGGAGATCAGAGGAAGGGAAAGGTCACTGAGGGCTGGGAATGTCAAAAGCCTGTATTTTCAATAAGTTCTTAAAATGATAGCATGTTAGAAAGCTGTTATAATTGCTGCTAATTTGTAATTTTAAAGTGTTGACATGATTCACCATTGCTTTCCAACCAGTAGCTGTTCAAAAGGACATACAGTTGAAGGTAAAAGGAGATATTTCTTTATGATCTCCAGAGATTTGTATTGAGGGGGAAAAAGACATACTTTCTTGTTGAATAATAGACCAATAATTGAGCATATTTTGCATGGGGAATACTAAATTGAGTGAACAGGAATTCAAACCTCAGGCTGTGATTTTGGTATAAATTTTTGTTTCTAATAAACCATTTTCTTCCTGCTAAATAAGCTTAAAGTTTTGGGAATAAGTCAGCTCAAAAAACTTTTTTTTTATTTTCTAATATCTATTTTCACAATTTATTTTTCTTTTAAGAAAAGTGGACTAAAAGTGCAAGTCATATTCTCAAGGCAATGAGAATTTTTTAGCTCTAAAAATGGTGTGTGTGGCAGGGAGAACATTTAGCATCCTTTAAAATTGAGATATCTGAACAGCAACTTATCTTTTGAAATCACCAGATCTCAAGTGTGCTTTGCACTCTTGGTCTTAAAATGCGTTTCATTTTCTAGTTTGGCAAACATTCCAGTCTCCTTACATTTGCTACCTTTTCCGTCTTTGCAACACAGGCAGTCTGAGCTAAATTAGGTTTGTTATAATGAAGTTTTGAAGTTTAAACTGCTAAAATAGAGGCATGTCCCTAACTTTATACAAGTTTAGAGAATCGTAGTAAGCATTATTTTTTTCTCCATACTTGTCTGCATTCAGGGTCTTCCCAAGAAATGTCAGTTAATTCCCCTATTCGAAAAATAGGGACTTTTTCGTAACAGTTGTACAACCAGGCTAAAGAGCACACCCTTGTCTTTCCTGAAGGGGAGGCAACCTGCAGTAATATGAGGTAATTAAATTTAGCCTTAGAAAAGTCTTTGAAACATTCTAATCAAGACTTTCAGCTTTCCGATTGTGTGCGCTTTATTTTTCAATTCTTGCTAGTCCCGGTTTTGCATTTCTAATGACAGTGAACTGACAGCGCGTGAAAGCGGTCTGAGGAGCAAAACAAAGCCAGCAAGCCTGCTTCTGGTGTGCCAAGATTAATCAATATTCCAGAAACCTCGGGGTTTCCCCCTCCTCCCCTATGCGGTTTCCATTCCCCGCTCCTCCTTTCCCGGGCACAGACTCCTCCCCTTTTCTTAAGTTGCCCTGATAGTAACTTGCAGTCTCAGAGCACATGCACACTGTCAGGGCTAGCCTGCCTGCTTACGCGCGCTGCGGATTGTTGCTCGGTTGTACCTGCTGGGGAATTCACCTCGTCACTGCTTGCTATCTTTCACCCTTTACAAAATTAGAAAAGGTAAGTGTCACATTCTGTGTTCCTGTTGGGTTTAATTTCTCCTTTCACTTCTCTACCGATCTATTTTGCCTTCCAAGCAGAGGAGTAGCCTGAATCAAGGCTAGCCATTTTGGTAGATAAAGTCCATGTTAGTCATCTCACGTCGTGAGAGTGTGGTGTCTATTTATGCCGGATCCTCTGCTAATTTGGAGTTGAGTCATTCAGGGTAGATTGGGGGCAGACTGTGGCGCGAGATCTAGAAAAGGATCAAAGTTGAGCGGATCTGCTTAAAAGTGACTGGTAAGAGGAATCAGAGCTATTAGTTAAAAAAAAAAAAAAAATCTGGTCTCTCCTACTTCCCAGTCTTCATTTCTCCCTAAGCATTTAATCCGGTGTGACGTCTTAAACAAATTATAAGTCTTAATATCACTGACCCCAACTTGCAATTATATTTAAAAGGCAAACTGTTAAGTCTTTTTTTTTCTTCCTGCACTGGGATTTGCTAAAAGCTTGCGAGGAGTCATTTGCGAGGAGTCCTTTGGTTTCCAGTTACCTCCCCCACAGGCGCACACGCTGGCTGCTTGCGTTGGCAGCGACACACAACCAGGGTACAGCTGGTTTTCACTCGGATTGATTATGGGAAGGGCTATGGATTAGAACTCCTGTAAAGCACCAGGAGGAATCCCTTGATTTTTCAGAACAGCTGATTTCCACCAGGAAAGAGATTTACTGAAATGTAGTTAAATAGCGTGAGTGGTTTAAAGAAACCAGAAACCACACGCTGTAATGTTTGGAATGAAAATTGGTTTCATCTCCTCATCTGTTCTAGAAATCCTAAATCTTAAAATGCTAAAAAGTCAGCGATGGTTTCCTTGGAAGACTCCAGCATGTGTGTCACAAAGAAAAACGCTACTTCATACGTTTACTTGTGATAAAAAAAAAGAAGCTGAATTGTGATTTCAGATGATTTATAGATGTGCCCAGAGCACTTTGCTTATTTCATGGAAAAAAAATGAAAAAATTACCCTGTAAAATAGTCACATGTATTTCCTGTGTACTGTGGGCACTTGTGTTCTTTTTATGACCATATTTACTAGTAGATATTATTATTTTTTAATGAAGAAAATAGCTGGTTACTTCACTACATATAATAGAGAAACTTCCACCTATCAATATCTTAATTATTTTTATTGACCTGGTTGTGCCTTCAATCATGTATACAGCATAATTTGTCAAGTAATGATTGAGTACTTTCTGTGCATTCAGTTCAATTGGACGTTTATTGAGGGTGTACGTTGTGCAAGGCATGGGCTGGATTCTGCGGGGTATAGGGGATAGGGGTTCTCAGTCAGATCCAGCTCTGAAGAACCCTTTCATAGCCTCATTGGAGGGGGAAGGATGGATTTTTAAAAAGAAAATAGAACATAAGTTCTGCATATATATTCTGAATTTATGCACATTTCCCACACGTGGTCCACTAAAATATGCACACTGCAGCCTTGAAGTCTGGTATTGTGACTCTCCAGTCCTTGATTCCTGCTGAGATTATGCGATTTGCCAAGAGCTTGCCTGGTGTAGAGCAGCACTGATTTCTCACCCCTGGAGACTGTAACTCATGTCTCTTTTTCTCCCATTCTAGCTGTGTTTTCTAATACCAAAGAGGAGGTTTGGCTTTCTGTGGGTGATTCCCAGACACTGAAGTGCAAAGAAGAGACACTCCTAGAAAAGTAAAATATGACTAAAAGCAATGGAGAAGAGCCCAAGATGGGGGGCAGGATGGAGAGATTCCAGCAGGGAGTCCGTAAACGCACCCTTTTGGCCAAGAAGAAAGTGCAGAACATTACAAAGGAGGATGTTAAAAGTTACCTGTTTCGGAATGCTTTTGTGCTACTCACTGTCACCGCTGTCATTGTGGGTGAGTCATTTGATTAAAAACAAACAAACCTGTATCTTGTTTCTCTGGGGCATCTGGCTGCCCGGGGAATATTATCAGATGAACTAGTTGTATCAAAATGATAGCCTAGGCTTTCCTCTGAGCTTGATGATTTTTCTCCACAAAAATGACTGTCTGGGCATGTTTGGAAGAATATATCATAAACACATCATTAGGCATCATTAAGCATTATGGAAATCAATTGTGTGAGAAAAAAATAAATACAATATTTTCCTATTTCATGTAAGGATGAAGAAGCAATAATTTCATCATTAGGCATGACAAAGCAAGCATGCTAGATTTGGCCAAAATGTAATTATATACAATGTCAGTTCCACTTAAAACTAATTTATACAATTAGTACACCTAAAATGAGATGTTGGTTCCGAATATAATTATATTCTAACTGATGCTGACTTGAAGCTAAGTATCAAGACTTAGACACAGAGGCCGAATCCTTTATATGTTTGCACTCTGTCACCCAGCAACTGGGAAAGGTAGATTGGGGAAAATGTTAACACAGATCTCTTTCATTCATTGCTTTGCAGAGCCTGCCATAACCAGCTATACCTTTTTTTGAGTCATTTCCATCTCTTACTAATTTAGCAGGGTTGACAGCAATCTGTACTAATAAAATATTACTCTTTTGTTTATTGATCTTAAAAGATCGTTTATTACTTACGGGTGGCATTGGTCCTACTTTAAAATATAGCTGAAAAAACCTACTTATTTGGAATTTTTGACCAAACCAATACAGAAATCCTTAGGTTGACAAACACACAAGCCAAAGGCAGGTTGTAAAAATGCTCTAACTTAACCTACCAATTTGCCACCAAAAAAAGAGCCATTCAGTACAGTTTTAATCTCTACTTTGGAGTTTGCCAAGATTTCCATCAACTTTAAAGAAGTAATGATTTAATAAAGATTAAGAAAATTCTGTAGTGTGTAAATATAATTATAACATTTTTCAAGGAAATTGAATTCTTAAATTGTAGACAAATGAAATATAGCAGGAGAGTTTGTCAGAAGACTTCAGATACCTCCCATTTTAACATGATTCCCTTCCATTAGTAATCACTGGTGATAAATGATGGTTCAATTAATTTTAGAGATATTCAAAGAGAACATATCCTAACTGACCCAGAGGAGTAATGGCTTTCCACAGTAGGTTTCCAGGCTTGAACATTTTCCTGGATGAAGTATTTCAGTCCCACATCATCGTCCTGGAAGTCAATGCAGAATGCAGTCTGCTTGCCTCAGTTTTCACTCTGAATCAAAGTCATTGCCAAGCCAAGAAATAGCTGCATAGTAATAATTGCAAACATTTGTATAGTACTATTCCAGCTACTCTGTAGGAGTTTTGTTTATATCGGCTCACTTAATCCTCACACAAGCCTATGAAGCGAGTGGGAAGGTATGATTACTATGATCTTCCTCATTTTGTAGATGAAACTGACTGTGGAGACATCAAGCAATTTGCCCAAAGTCACAACACTAGCAAACTCTGGAGCTGGAAGTCAAATTCAGTCTAGTGTCAGAGGCCATTCTCTTAACCACTCTATTCTTCCTCTGCTCTAATGCTAGTTGACATCTTCTAAGAGATGTCAGGAAGAGAAATACCCTCATAAGTTGATGAAGGCCAGTTAGCTAGCAGTGCTAGATGCATTCACATAGCATTGTCATTTAACTGTATGATTTACCCAGTTAAACTCAACAGAAAACTTACAGGTCTCCTATAGACTGTTAAGCCACATCCTTCTCATTCATTTAACAAATATTCATTTATAATTCATGATCCTGTACATATAATAAATAGAGCTCAGTAATACTGGAGTATATTTGAAAAAGACGGAGAAACACCATTCAAAATGGTGTTGTAAACACCAGAAGAGTTGAATTTCTAAGACAGAAATGCTTTATTCAAGAATAGAGGAATGGAAAGTCATAAAACTTGAACATGGAAGACAGATTGATGGAGAAGGAAGTTCCTGAGTGACTAGTACAAAGCAATAACATCTCTAATAAAAGGAAGATAATGCCAGTATTTAAAAGTCTGTTTTTCTCTAGGAGTTCTGGGATCATTCCTTACCCAATGAGGGCTTTCCTAAGATTTGTGAGAACTGCAATAAGAGTTGGCTGAGCTAGGGTAGATAAGTTGGCCGGGTGCCCTCATGGTTGGCTTTACTAATGGAAACTGAGGAGGCAGAAGCAGCAAGAAGAAGGCACTAACAAAGAAACACATAAAAAGAGCTCATTGACAGTCCAAGAGACCACTGAGTCTACATCAAAGACTTGGAATAGCAAATAGACAACTTAGGAGCAAACAGATTTAGGAGAGAAGGAAGAACCCTTCAGTTATCTGTTAGTGTGTCTTCCACTGAGGGCTCAGTGGATATAAAGGCTCCATTTAGCTTGTCACTGGGTTCCATGTCTACCAGTCTTAAGAGATAGGAAAAGAATGTGTCTGTACACCAACTCTTAATTTATTTGCAGTAGCATAAGAAAAAACAAGAAATATGCTAGCAAGGAAGGAGATAATTATTTTCCCCAAAGATGAGATGAGAAGAGCTATATTTACTACCTAGTTTTCAAATTCCTAGGTTTTTATTGCTTTTAGTGAAAAAAAAAATCATTGGGAAAACCTATGTACTGGGTTGAATCTTTGGTTCAGTCTGTTTTTTTCTGCCTTTTTGAAATAAAATGTATATGATTTAATGTGTGGAAGTGGAAACTAGAAAAATATTATGATAAAGACATGTGAATCCATACATTCAAAATAAAGTAGAAATTTATAAATATTTTGATATCAATTCATCTGCAAGCATAAGCATAGAACCATTTGTACAATTTTATGTAATTTCTACTGTCATTTCTAAGCAACGTCAAAGTCTGAATGTGCCATGCCATGACAAAAGCTCGTGTAACAAGAGTGGTTAGCAATCTGAGAGAACGCAGTGTCAAGTTCCACATCCCTTAGAGGGCCCATCATGAAAGCATTAGGTAATGGTCTGCCAGGGCTGTTGTGGACATCTGTCTGACAAAAACCACACTGGGAAGAGTGGTTATTGTCTTTCTTCCTCCAGAAAGCAGTTTCTCCCTTCAGACTATGGTAAGTTGTGTTAGAGTGACCTCAGACATCTCGCTGAAAGAAAGGAAAAGTCCTTTGTCATGTTCAAGTCACAGAACACTGACTCTTTCCATGGCTAGGAAATGAATTACACAATGAAAGTGAAATCTCAGGCCAAACAATAGAAAGAAATGGGTCATAAGATCAGCTGCAAGGTGGGGAGATATTTATAAATAGGAATGCACAGAACTGAGTGGTGGTTTTACCTGAAGGCATTCACAAACACAGTAAACTAGCAGCTTTCTCTGATGTTGGTCTTGGCGTGTGCGCGCACACACACACACACGCAGAGTTTACATTTGAGTTATCCTTTTTCTGATGTTCTTGCACAGTTTACATTTGAGTTCTCCTTTCTCTGATATTGGTCTTCACACACACACACACAGACACACACACACACACACACACACACAGTCACAGAGTTTACATTTGAGTTCTCCTTTATATGGATTTGAAAGAAATTGGTGACTTCTCAGGAAAGAAATCATCCTGGCTAAATTTTTATAAAGCATTTCCCTCTGTTCTCTAATACTCTGGCTATGAATTTAAATTGCACTAAAATTCAGTGCAATTCTGTAATATCTCTAGATGGATATACAAGAAACTGGTCAGCATGGCTGCCTGTTGGGATAGGAGCTAGGTGACTAGAGAATGGGGTGGAAGGAATACTACTTTCCTTTGAGTAAGTTTTTGTATTATTTGATTTTTCCCCTTATTTTTATATTATCTACTGATAGCTATTATCTACTAAGTAAATAAGTTAAATTATTTATTTAAAAAAATTCAATGCTATTCAATTTAACAAATATGTTAAACTGTTTGTATCTTGGATGTTATGTATCTTGCCCTGTGCTGTGCTATGGGGACCCCCTGTTCTCAGGTAATTTCATAGGAGACATGGATGAAAAAGAAGATGAGAAAGGAATATCCAAGGATCAGAGGTGGTAATAGAGAAGTTTCTAATTAGCTGTAAAAAAATTTTTAATGAGATCATATTATGCATACTGTTCTACATAATATGGCATTTTTCTGTGTTGGGACTTTAGAGGTTCCATTTCCTTTTAATAACCACATTAGGAGTCCTAGATGTGCCATCTGGAAAAAAAAAAAAAGTGTGGCTTTTGATGAAGGTAGATCTGGATCCATGGGCCAGCTGTATTATTTAATAGCTGTGTGATCCAAAAGGAGGCATCTCTGAGCCTCAGTTTCCTGTAGCTATAATATATTTTTGCTATAGTTATAATATGTGTTGCTAACAATAATAGAGGCTGGGTGCAGTGACTCACGCCTGTAATCCCAATACTTGGGGAGGCCAAGGTGGGAGGATATCTTGAGTCCAGCAGTTTGAGACCAGCCTGGGCAACATAGTGGGACCCCATCTTAAAAAAAAAGAAAGAAAGAAAGAAAGAAAAGAAATAGTCTTGTTGATGTTCACTATTTTGGGCTGGGCAAGGTGGCTCACACCTATAATCCCATCACTTTGGTAGGCCAAGGAGGGAGGATCACTTGAGCCAGGAGTTCAAGATCAATCTGGGCAACATAGTAAGATCTCATCTCTGCAAAAACATTTTTAAAAAAATTATCCAGGTGCACATGTCTGTAGTCCCAGCTACTCAGGGGCTAAAGTGGGAGGAGGATTGCTTAAGCTCCTTATCACTGCAATGAGGCTGCAGTGAGCCATGTTCCTGCCATTGCACTCCAGCCTGGATGACAGAGCGAGACCGTGTCTCCAAAAAAGAAAATAACAATAATAATGATAATAGCTAACACTCACAATGTATGGAAAGCACAGTTGTATTTAAGTATATTAACTTTATTTAATTCTCACAACAACCCAGAGAGGGAGGTAATTTTA